TGATGACTTTAAATTAGTTGGCTCAGAGGCTCACATTTTTTTTTGGCAAAGTGATAAAGCAAGTCCAACACTATCCTTAAGGTTCTTTGACTCCGACATATTTATGGACCTGAGCATCTCTACAATTTTTTTCAGATCACAGTTTAGTCACTTTGTCAGTAAAAGTATGACAAGAGGCACTTTTTCTTACTAAGCCAAATAAAGTGCAATTTCCAGTTAAATAGATTCTATTTGATATTTTTCTCCCTAAGTTAATTTCAGTTTCTGCTCGTGACCTCTTGTTCTCAAGTAATGAAAATGTCAGCAATTATTTCTGTAACAGTCAGACAGTCTTTCTTGACCTCAATTTAGTTTTGATCAAGTGATTTCTTACATGCATTATCCTTTTAACGATGCATAACTACACAGTATCTAGTATAAAAATAATTATCTTGGTGAAATGTCCTCTGTAACTTCTATTTCTTGTTCAGTGATCTTGAATGCAAATATATTATTTACGGTCTTATGGTAACTTTACCCCTAAGGATACATGGTTCTGACTAGTTTTTCCTCAAAGTTCATATTACTTTTTATCTCTTCTTTTTAAAGCTTTACAAATAATCTGATTTCTTATTATTCAATAAGCTTCAAATATATACTTCTACTTAGTATTCTGTACAGAAATAGTCTCCCTCTAGAAAAGTAATTTTCACCTTACTTTAGGCCATATCACCAATCTATTTTTTCATGTTTCAGATACTGAAACACATGTGGAGCTTAACTTTTGCTCACACTTTCTAAATAGCTTGGGTTTGTGATATGACAATGATGTAATCATCACAATGTTTCTTTCTACTGCTTTTATGTATGTATCCAGGGTCCCTTATGCTTTAAATGTTATAACGGATTGTTGCGAAAGAGCGGTTTGGCCTATTAAATAGTCACTCTCAAAGGTATTGGGAAAAAGCAGATTTTAATATAAATTTGTGAAAGTGTGATTTAACAGAGTTCAATAACAAGGTTCACTGTATTATTTACTACATAGATGAAGCATACAATGGAAAATGGTGGGGAGGAAGGATGCAGGATGCACCACCACAGTTTTGGGGTTTTTTTATCTTCCTTCACTGACACTACCAGGATTACACTGTAGCCCATCTGGAATTTAAGTGATTTCACAGTTACTAAGATATACTCAGAGATTATTATAAACTTAATGCATGTAGATGATTATCTGCTGTACATGTACGTGATTTAACACAGATTACACCCCCTTTATTTGTCCAAACATTTTCTATAACCTTCAAATTCCTTTCTTTTTTAATTTTTCTGACATTTTAAAACTAGCTGGCAATGCGATTTAATTATCAACTTGTACTGTAGGGAAATTTCCTCTTCTGTGTTTTTCTGATCTGTTGAAGAGCTATTTCTATGGTGAGAAGACCTGAGATAAGGATTTGATCTGTCAAAAACACACAGATATATTCTTCCAATAAGTACTGTTTATGCTTAAAAAAGATTTCAACAGTGACACACATACTGAAAAAAACATAGTAGATCTTCCAAGTTCAAGTATCCTGATGATGTTGCTGAGCACTCATTATATGCTTCTTCATATTAAATGGAATAGATATTCTAATTTATATTTTGTAGAAATCATTGTAAGTCAGACAAATTCTTTAGACATTTGTTGTAGTGATAGGGATATTAATTTATACATACTTTTTAATAAGCTTAGAAAAAAATCAGTTCTCATTTTCCTATGTTAAAAAATGCTTGTTTGCCATTTCTTCAATGCAGCTCAGAGTCCTAAACGAGTAAGGTATTCTGACTCTTTCCCCTGATCCACTTTCAGTGATTTTTATTTTTTTTTTTAGCTGCAGATTGGTGTGTTCTAAAATTTTAACTTTCCAATTAACTTGTGAAGAAATGAAATGCAAAATTAAAACCATGATGTTCCTTTAACAACTGTGTCACATTAAATAGAAAGAGTTACAGCCTTCAAAGGAACATCATTGTATCTGTCTCTCCCCTTCATTTCACTAAGTGCAAGGATGCACAGCTGCTTCATGCTCGTCTTATTCAAGAGCCCTTATGTCCTTCTCTGCTGCTCCCCAGCCAGTCTGACCTCAGCTTTTGCTGGTGCCTGGGGTTAATCTGTGCTGGTTGTGAGGCTCTGCATTTGCCATTTTTGAACTTCAGATGTCATCCCATTTCTCTAGCCTGATGAGACCCCTCTGAATAGCAGACTCCAGAATATTAACCAGTCTTCCCAGTTTGGTACTATTTGTGAACCTGAGTGCCTGAATTTCTTCACCATGGAGATCAGCAGTGCCATTAAACAGTATCAGACCTAGCACCAATCCCTGAAGAACAATGCCACTAGCTGAAGGTAACCCAGGGATTTAAATAGTGGTATAATTATATTTTCTCCTTTCTCTCTAGTTTCTTTCTTAATGTTTCCTAACAACTGATTTTCTATTTTTGACTTATACTGCAGGTTGAGCTTATATTTTCATGGATTTACCTTTCAGCTGAGAACCTCACTGCTGAGTGGTTGTAGTCAGGCAAGGCTGGTTTTACATATGCCAAAAAAAACCGTTCAGTTTTTTGTCCCATGTACCTTGAATTTCACCTGCTATATCATTTAGCGGTGACTCAGAGTAATAGATACTGTAGAAGTCATAATTTGTTTTTGTCCTCACACAAACTAAGGTGCATACGCTATTTAAATGATCATAACTATGCCGAATTACATTAATCCATATGGAACACTTCTGGTTACTTTTAATGCTGGATAAGCAACTGAACATTTCTTCTTAGCTCTTTTTTCCTGTCTCTTATCCACCTGTTTATTGAAATTTTTTCCTATTTTTGACTTTGTTTACAAGCTTCTTTTTGTCCTTCATTCCTCTGTAGAGCTGTTGAATCTAAGTGCATCATCAGTTTACCCTAGTGCAAACATAGTTATAGTCTCTTAAAATATCATCTCTTTCATTTCCCAGAGTGACATTTTCCTAATTGATAGGATGATGCTGATAGTATCTAGAAAAAGCTTATTGGTTGTTCTCACTGTCTTTCTTCTCTGAGGTTTTGGTAATCAGTATCTTAATCCTGGTCAGACACTCTCTAATAGTCACACAAATCTATATTCTCATTTAAGCTTGGTATTTTGGCCCATTCAGATTCTGTCCTGAATGTGTTAATATGTTTAAATTGAAGTTCTCTTTTGCTTGTCATACTAGGCTGGCACATGCACTTTTGTATTTACTGTCCCAGTGACTGTCAACAAATTTCTAGTGCATCTATTTCATAAGTGCATTCATTTAAGGTATGATATTCCAGTTTCTTTTTCTTGTTTCCTATTTCCTTAGACATTTAATATTAGTATGGAAATATGCTTGCTACTCCTTTTCCTCCCTTCTTGAAATACTATCGACATGCTATTTAACTATCAAGCATTATATTTCATATTTCTTTCTCAAATATTCCTAATATTTATTTCTCTTATTTCAGAATGCAAAAATCTTTATGCATACATTTTTGGATAAATCTTCTCCAGCTGAATGCTTTTCTACGCCTTTTAGGCTGTTATGTTTCCTGAACTCATCAATTTCTAAGCTCAGTGACAACTTTCTTAGTTTTAAGTGTCAACAGATTTGCTCTCAAAATAGTGATGTCACACGTAGGGCTACAGTAAGAATAGGACAAGACTTGTAAGCTAAGAATTCTTCTGGAAGTGCATTCATACAAATAGTACTAGTCCTGTGAAAACTAAGTGACTTTAAATAATGTCCTAAGTTAACATCAGGAAAAATGTCCTTTCTAATATGTTTTATACTAATTTTTATTGATTACATTATATCCCAGTGTGAATGGTGGAGAGAAATGGATGGAAAGACATGCTCTTTTATGCACCAAAGTATCATATTTGGATCTGGTCAAAATAATTTAAATAATGTACTATCTATAGTTTTTATTTTTTTATTTTAGGTGTTGCTTATTTGTATTTCTCTTCTTCATTACTTCGTTATACTTCTCTAATCTTAGTTCATAGAGATCTACAGTAGAGATAGTGTAATACTGTGAACTGCATACACAACTGAAATTCAAAAAATCTGCTGTCTTGTCTAAGGAGTTTTTCTGCCCTTGAGAGGAACCTACAGTCCATAGCCTTCCATTCTACTGTGAAGATTTTTGACAACTGACACTGCATCTTGGCAGAGCTGGATGGCTCAGAATATAGCTTACATTAAGACCAGTCAGGATTTAGGAACTATTTGCTCTTCTACATAATTTCACTGACAGATTTCAGTCTACAGGGTTTTCCAGGATCATGTCAAAGCATGACATCAGCACCAGATCTGCTGAAAAATAGGGTGATGATCCTCATTTCTTTTAAAAGCAGAAACAAGAGACTTTCTTTTTTTTTTATAACTCCTGACTATCTTACTCAGGTTTATATGGCAATATATACAGCATTGCCATTACTAGAAACAGGCCACTGATTTTTGCACTGAATTTTTTCTTTTTTTTTTTTTTAGTTTCTTTACCTGCAAGAACATTTTTTAATCCTTTATTTAATTACTTTTTCTTATTTTTTATGCTATAATCATATTTTTTTAATAAAGTAATGAGTAATTATTCTGCATAGAATGAAATATGAGGCCCTGACAGTAATAGTGAAGCAGAGACCTCTGCAGTGTGGAGAAGTATACAAATCAGATGATAAAAAAAGTACCCTTGAGACTGAAGCTATGAAAAATTCAACAGTTTTGAGCTAGGGTGGTGCAGATTTGGGAGCTGGTCAGAACTGAGTTTACAGTTACAACTGTAACTGAGTTACAGCTAAAAGAAAAAAAAGCAACTATCTAAAATAAATAAATATTTTATTTATTTTTAAATGCACAGATACATAAAGGATAGAAGAATAGTCTGAAGTGGACCCACCAGTGAAGAAGAAACCATCAGAACCAATAGCATGTTCCTCCTGGCAAAGCAAAATAAACAGCATCACTGTCCTCCAGGAGATGAACAGGGGAACAGCATAAGGATTAACAGCAGACAAGAGGGAGAACTAGAAATTTTCTGTAAAACAAATTTTAAGTGCATTATTAATGAGATTAGTTCTGAGTTATTTATATAATTTATATTTATAGTTAGTATCATTGTAACTAGACTAACCATACAAAATGGTATAAATTAGTCATGCATTTGAAACTTTAAATAAACTAATAATAATTTTTTAGTGTCTCATAAAAGGCCTATTCCTCTATTTGAACATAAAATTTTTTGAGGGTTACAGTCTCAAAATCGGATACATACATGACTTTTCTGCTCTACCTGCAAGATTTATATCTTTTCCTATGAATCATTATAAAGCTGTTCAGGTTGAAGCTGTTTCAGTTCAAAGGAGTTAGGAATGAATGATGTATTGATTTCTACTAATTGGGACAAAAGTTCCCTCTGTCCTGTTCTTGGTACTCAAACATTCCCTGTCACTCAGCTGTTGGTTTCTTACCTCAGAATCAGAAGAATTTGTACTGGTTATTACAATAGTACTCTGGAAAGTTCCATTTTGTCTATTTTACAAGGCAGTCTTTCCTGAATGGCCTAAAATTGATGAATGAAGATGGCTGGAATTGGAACACAGAGAAGTGCCTTATCATGTTTATGGATGGCTTCTCAAAGCTGGGATTACACTCAATACATTCTGAATTCCAGTTCAATCCTTTAACATTAAGCTATTTAATTTATTCATCTTATCTCCTAAAATAGGTATGAACTGACTCTTTGGTTTTTGATATTTTTTTCCTTCAAATAATGTGGTGGGAAAAAAAACCCAAAACAGGTTAGAGACACAACGGTTTATTAGGTTTAGAAAATTGTATAATGTCTGAAGACTGCCTAAATATTTTATTCTTTGTTGACTGGAGTACTAACCTTTTTACTGTCATGAGTGAATGTCAGCCATGTTAAGATGTGTAAATAGTAAAGAAAACGTGATCTGAAAAAGCCACTGGTGAGAGTCTATAGAAAAAGTAGGAGCTAATGGAAAAAGGAATGTGAAATAAGATAATATGCAAGTACCCAAGAAATGTCATACAGGGGGAAAATGTATTTGGAAAATTTATTCCATAAAAGTCGAGAACAGTAGACTTAGAAGGGAAAAACCTAACAGTGCTGTAAAAGACAGCATCAGGCCTGAGAAAGACACCCCTCCTGTTCTCTTCAAGGCCTTTTATCTTCTCTGGCCTCCCCTCCAGGCCCCCTCCACTCTGCCAGCCTGTAACATCTGTTTATCTCTCTGTTTATCTCTCCTCATACCAGAGAGAGAGAGAGAGAGAGAGAGAGAGCGCGAGAGAGAGCGAGAGAGAGAGAGAGAGAGAGAGAGAGAAAGAGAGAGCGAGCCTGCAGCTTTCTCTAGAATGCAGAATGAAAAGGGAAAAAAAAAAAATCCAACTATCTTTGAGAAAGGTACTTCTTAGGAAGGAAGGACTTCCTAAGTGAAACAAGTCCTAATCTCATGGTTACAAATCTTCCTGAAGGATATCTACGCTTACAAGGAATATAGTTATTTTATAACTTCAAATCATGGCATATAGATGTCTTTAAACGAGGACTTTTGAAAATTTTTTAGGAAAAAAATTTTGTAAGAGTGTAAAGACATTTGAAAGAAATTATTATTTGTGTAAGGTACTGTAGTGGTTTGGATCTTGTTTTCCCCCAGAGGCTAAGAAAAGTGGTAACCCCCAAGGGGTGGAAACCCCTGGAAGTTTTGAAGTCCTGTCCAATGGGCGCTCCTGCAGAAATGTAAACATACCACAACCAGACCGGAAGAGAAGAGTTGTAGTTTGGTTGGTAGAAGAAGTAGTCATGTTGTAGGAGCCACAAGGAGAGGGCAGGAGCCCTCTGGGGGGGGCCTCTGGCCCCCCCAGCCCCAGTTGGGGGCTTGGAGACTTGGAACAGTGTTAAGCTGGACTATGTGTCTGTAGCTGTGACCTGGGGGATGTTTTCCATCGTGAGTGAGCAGAGACAGAGCAGAAGCGGTGGTAGCATCCAGAGGTTATGGCTAAAAGCCAACTGATAAGACCTGAACTGGAGGAGTAGCAGGAACACCATGCAGCACCGCAGAAAGACTCCTGGAAGGAGAGCCGAGGAAAAAGAGAGCCCGCAGCAGAGTTACAGAGTTCTGGGGGTAAGAACTGATATCAGACCCCCCAAAACTCCTTTGAGACCTCCTGGAAGGAGGAAGATGATGGACTCTTACTTGAAAGAGCCTTGGAGTGCTGAGGAGCTGAGAAGCTCAGAGCGTCCTGGGAAGCTGGACCGGGATGGAGAGGAATGTGGAGGAGGGCTTCGCCCCCCCCGCTGCCTTGAGGCAGAGCACGGAGTTCTGCAAAGGGGAATTTGAATCCCCTGAGGAAGGGACTTTCATGAAGATGCCCCTGCATTTCGTGATATACCGGTGGTGACGCAAGTCTTGTCCCTGCTCGCAGTCCACAAGTGAGGCCTTCACTTGGACCGAAGGAGAGCCGAGGGGCTTGGAGACCCCCTTGTGTGTATTGAACAGAGATCCAGCTACAACAATCCAGTTACTGCCGCATGCATGAGATGAGGAGGCCTGCTGCCTTAGAAGAGACTCCTGTTTTGGGACTGGAAGGGATCTGTCCTTCTTTCCCTCCTGGACTTTTTATTTGGAGGGGAGAAGATATCTGATCCATTGTAAATACTATATGTCATGGTAGAGATAGTTGTGATCATGTGTATAATGTGTTATAGTATTTATTTGTACAGTCATTGTAATACATTCCCTTTCCCCCACTTTGAGTCTGGTGTGTTTTGTCTGAAAAAACCCATCTCACATTGGGTTGAGATGTGGGAGGGGGAATGGAGCTAGGGAATTGGATTTTGGGGCTATCTCAAACCATGACAGGTGCTAATGATATGAGGAAGCACAGGGAAAAAATTAAACCTAAGTTTAACTTTGTGCAGTTAAGAGTGATACATCATCAGCCCTGATTAACCATTCAGGTTTTTTATATAATAATTTTTATAAATAATTTGTGGTCAAACAATAATATATACTGTCTTATCTTTCTGTTCCAATCTCTTCAATTTTGGTGAACGATCTTTCTGCACCTATGTTTCATGACATATGTCTCAGAAATGGTCTCCCACTTAAAGTCTAATTTATCCTCTGGCACATGCCCATTCTTGATATTAGCTTACTGTGGTATTAATTATTTTCTTGATTTCAGGTTATTACCTAGAAAGGAAAACATGTTAATTTTGAATACATTCCAGTTAAAGCTCTTCTGTTGCATAAAAACAGTGTGAATGTGCAAGTCTTAGACTAGAATATTATATGTCAATATTTTCCACTGGAAGAAAATTACTGAACACATTTTTCTTTAATCCATTACTAAATTAACTTATGTGCTGAATAGTAGAAATTGTCAGTGCAATGATTTGGATGCAGATATTTCAGTTGGTTAAAGTACATCCCACACTATGCTGTGTTATATTCCAAGTCTGTAAAGAATAAGACAAAATGAAATTGCAGAGTGCAATTACTTAATTTTTGTAAGAAATAAGGAGGGATATAAAATAAATTATTATGTTGTACAGTGCTGTTTCTACTGCTAACATAAGATTCTTTAGAACAGGACCAGAAAATTAATAATAATAATAATTAATAATTAAAAATTATTAATAAAAATATAATATAACATTTGGTAAAATCTTGAGAATTCATATTCCTCATTTCTTGCTTTTTCTTTGTGTAATCAAGGACAAGTATTTGGGAGTGAGGAACTGAAGAGGATTAACCTTAGTATGCACTAGTAACCTAGTCAGAAGCTAGTTTGTCTATTTTTCAGAACAAGGCAAAATTCTAGCAAAGCTCTTACCTTTCAACAACTGATGGAGAGAGTGAAAATTCACTTTTCAGTGTAATCTCAAATGTTTAGAAATGGCATGGATGATTAAAGAAAAAAAAAATACTTTATTTAGCAGACTTTTTGTGGAGCCTTTTTCTTTGTCATTGATTCTCTCCAAGCACCGTGTCTCAGGCTGCATTCTTCTGAAAGAAATCCGTATGTTGAAGGATGTTGACTTTCTAACCACTCTGGTTTTTTAACAACTAAAAGAGTACCCTTAAGGTTCCATCTTTCTCATCTAAGAATTACTGTAATTTAACTTTCTTTTGGAGAATCTCTTGTCATTTCTCTTTCATCTCTTTGGTAGATTTGATGCTCTCTTTCACAGTCCTTAAAGCCACTGACTCAGCAATAGATTAATTTTATCTTTTCCTCCTCTTTCTTTACCCTAACATTTTTCCCTTTATGTTGGTCCCCATATATTCATTACAGAATGACATTAATGAACTGAGTCTTGTATTTTAAAACAGAATTATATATTTTTGCAAACCTTGTGAAAGCTTCTGATTGAGATTCCTCAGATAAAATTATCAGTGATTCTAAGTTGAAGCTGTAACCAACTGTAACCAATTGCTCTAGCTTGATGATGGGTATGAATGCAACCATAAAAAACATATACTTGTGTATTACCTGATGTTATTCAAGGCATTTCATGATATCCTGGAAAAGACTGTTATTGAAGTGTATCATGTTGATGAAACCCACAGTTGGTTTGATCATTCAAAATCAGAATGAATTTCTTTGTTATCATACCAAACATTTTTCTCTTCATGAGACGTAGGAGAGAGAGAGACACAGAGTGCTTAAAGAGCTGCATTGGAATTCAGTACTGTTCAGTGCTGTAACTGCATGTTCCAGAAAAAACACTGGTTGTGTTTTCCTCTGCAGTGAAAAAGTAAAAGAGATGAGTTTAGCAAAACATCATGAAAGAGAAAAGTAAAATTGAAACCTGAGGACCAGTTGTGGTGAAAACACTGCTACAGCTAACTTTCTACAAAATAATGCTAAGACTAGGGTAGCTGTCAACAGGATAAGGTGTGGGGTTTCAGAATATCAGTGAAGGAAAAAAGATACAAATGGAAAAGAAAAGATATAGTTATTTGTCTATTTTTTTCTGATTTTCGGTTCTAATGAAAATAATTACAATTTTAGATCTTTGAACATTGGTACAGCATTCTTTTTGCCTGAAACATTACTCAGTAAAGCAAGAGGCTTCAGATTCCACACTATTTCATATCACAGCTGCATGTAGAATGCATACTGGATGTCATTTTTCTTAGGCACTAACTTCTCACTCATTCTGTAGAGAATGAAAGACCTGCATGTTAAATGTCCCCTTCACAGGTAGAAAATATCAAAGTCAGAAAGGTATACTGCATACATCTTCTAAATGATCAATAGCTTGGTCATATTAGTCTTTAAATATTACTTTTTGAAGTACAAGATTTCCTTCCTAAGCCTGTTCTCTTTTTCATGTTCCTGTGTTTATATCAAAATAGCTATAAAATATATTAAAGGTAATTTCAGAAAAGACAAGATTTTTGCTTTTCCGCCCCCCTCTTTTTAGGTTTTCTGCCTGACATCACTGAGTACACAAGAGTAGTAAGTAGTTTGCTTCAGTCCTCTTACTGAAGTACTGTGGGAGCAGCTGTTTTCAGACAATTTTTTCTAAAGCATGAAGATGAGAAGAGCATGAGCTGGAGTCATGAGGTTGCATTGTGGATTCAGAAGAGCTTACTTCAGCATCTGGGAAAAAACCAAAATATTTAAAATAGCCAAACAAAAGTCTTTCACAGAGTTAATGTTAATGGTCCTTGAGCAACCTTAGTGTTGATAGGAAAAGCAGTGATTGTGGCTCAGAGCTAAATATATACATATATTTTTGTATTAAAAATACAGCTATGTAATTGTAAGGTTGTATTTTTAGAGTCAAAAGCAAAATAATAACTAGATTTGTGATTTTTATAGTTATTATTAGGGTGCATGATCATAGATTGCTTATTGTAACGTAAATTGCTTTCCTACTTAGAAAATGTTGAAATATCTTCCATTTCTGTGAGAGCACCTCGTGTGGCTTTGTCTATCCTTAGGTTTTTTAGAATTAGTTGTATGCTAGGAAAGCAAGGAATTATATCTTAGATATTTCTACCAAGATTAAGGTTCACCATACAATCTAATTTTGTTTTGTCTCTGGGAAATGGCAAGATAAGACATCAAAGAGATAATGCAGCCTTAAAAATCATACCCAGATTTTGTGGAAACTACCTCATTACCTCCCAGTTGTAGCAGGATCAGACGCATATCTTCCTATTGGGGAGCTTGTCCTATGAGGAGTGGCTGTCCTATAAGAAATTGCTGAGTGAGCTGGGGTGGTTTTTCCCTGGAGAAAGGGAGGCTCAGTGGAGACCTTATCACTCTACAACTACTTGAAAGGAGGTTGTAGCAAGGTGGGGGTTGGTCTCTTCTCCTAGGCAGCTAGTGATGGGTAAAGAGGAAATGAGCCCAAACAGTGCCAGGGAAAGATCAGGCTGGATATCTGGAGGAATTTGTTCATGGAAAGGGCTGCTAAACATTGAAATTGACTGCCCAGGAAGGTAGTGGAATTACCATCCCTGGAAGTGTTTAAGAAATGACTGAACATGACATTTGAACCTAGTCTAGTTGGCAAGGTGGTGATCAGTCAAAGGTTGGACTCAGTGATCTCAGAGGTCTTTTCTAACCTAAATGGTTTTGTGGTTCTGTGTGAATCTGTGATCTGTACTCCTGGTCCTGTTACAGTGGTAGTCAATGGTAATTCTTTCACTGACTTTAGGATAGAATTGAATGTTCTTGCAACAGCTAATTACCAGAGAGATTAAATAATGTGTGTCTATGACTCCCACAGCTGTCTCATTAGTGTCTCTAACTGAGCAGAGGAGCATGCAGTACTGCCTGCAGTACAGGCTCCTTCCTTAACTATGAACAGAGGACTGTCAGTTCTAAAATGTTATTTCTCTGCTACTTTGCAGAGCATGTTTGGGGGAGAGTCTTTGTTTTTCCAGTTTAGGTATACCTAAAATTATGTCTCCTCTGCCACATAATTTAGCTTCTTGGCTGTCAGCTTTCTGATAACCTACTTTAGATAAATTTTCATTTACTCTCAGGTTCTCTTTTCAGGTAATTTTTTTCTTTCAAAAGAAAACCTTATGAGGTTTTTTTTTTTGTTAGTTGGTTGGCAGGTTTTGTTTCTTGTTTTTTTTTCTGAAGATACTTCACTCAAGGGAAATCTTCCATTACACAATAGCATTGTATTTATTTTCTTGTACCCTATATAGTCATCTATATAGTTGTCCTAAAAACTTCTCACAAACTGCCAGGAATTGCACAACATGTAATTCATGACATGACCTTATTTTCATTTCATAAGAAACATAATTTTGGTCAATGCCAGTGCAACATCACTTTATTATTATTTTGAAATAAAAAGCACAGAAAATAGGATTAGGATTTAAGTATCACCACATAGAAGTTTCCTCAGTGAAATATGAATGCATCAATTTGGTAAAAGGGTATGTGCCAAAAGGGTATGACTGCACAACCCCTCCTAGTCTGGGGCCACACCATTCTTCCTGGATTGATTGTTTTTAAGGATATGGAAGTAATCTTGGAGAGCATTAATGGCAAGGTCTTTAAAAGAGAATCTACTCAGTGAGTAGAAGATAGCCCCTATATGATTCAGTCCATTGCCTTGGTTTTCTTCACTCTCACAGGTGACTTCCCTCTATAACAATTTATTCTGTGAATCATTTATCAGAAAAAGTGTCATGAGATAAAGGGTGGGTTTGCTTTTTTTAACATTATCCAGTGACTCAATTTCTACTTTACAGGCACTTTTAAAGATGGTATGTATGATACATAACCTTACGGATGAAGCATGAATAGTTTCTGGAGTCCAGTTCCTCAGTTTTTGTCACTCATTTGAATCCATATTCACAAACTTCTTCAGAACTCTTTAATTTTCTATGTTTATTTTAGGATGGAAACTCTCAGTCATTTAAATGGTATTAAACTTAGCAGGAAAGAAGCTGTTCTACACTAATAGCATTTTGTGGTTTATGCCAGTGGATCACAAAATGCTTTATAAACAAATAGAATACTAACAGTTTAATACCCTACAGGAATCACTTTACTCAGCATTGAGTAAAGAGTAAGAAATGTAAAATACCGTCTAATAATTACTTCAAGTTGATTTACCATAAGTATACAAATTTTGACTGTCAGGATGTAATTTATTATGGCATTTGCGCCCATAAAAGTAGGCATAACATCATTACTCAGCTTGACGCTTAGTCCTAAAGACAGATCAGATAATCATGTCATGTGAATATTTGCATAGTTCATTTGAAATAAGATACTGCAAGCAGTCCTCTGCCACCTTATGCCATTCATGCAATATTTTTGGAAGTGTGGTATTCTTTTTTACACATCTCCCATATCAGTTTGGAACTAAAATATAACTCTTGACTCTCCAATAGACTATACAAACCATCTTACTCCCAAAGATGCTTTCCCCAATCCTACCCCTTCATTTAGTATAATTTGCCTGAAAGCTGTGAAATTATGTACTTGAAATTTTCATTTAACACTGGTAGAAAGAAAAAGCATAATTAACTTCATTAATTTTCTTGAAACCAGAGACAATGAAGAAGGGAAACACCTACATTACAGAATAATATGTTAGAACATACTGGACCTGTTAATCTTAGAAATTATTTCATCATATGAGTTCAGGTTAGGAGTAGGCAGATTTATTCCCCTCCTGGTCTTCATATCCAGATTAAATTTCAAAGAAAATTAACTGCGTACCCAGAGTAGGTGCACCCAAATGCACACATCAGTAGGAATGATCAAGATACCAGGATATGAGGATATACAGAGAGTATACTGTCTCTGCAGCTGGTCTGTAGTCCAAGTGCCCATTCTGCAAGCAGAGCTTTCGGGATAATCCTCTGTCTTGTAATTTAGGTGAGGTTAGTTAAACAGTCAGGTAATTGTCGTTCCTGGCAGATAGTTAAAATTTCCCATCTGGCATGAAAAGTATAAAAAGAAAAAAAATCTTCCCTTTTAAGTTCAATATGAATTTTTAATAACCTTCCATACCTAGCAATTAATGTAACCATTTTTATTGATTGAAAATGCTGTATCTTTTTTGTAGAACACAGACCACTTGTTTTCCAAGATCGTGGTTACAGTTTTTGTCCCATTTTTGGGTACCGTACCAAATTCAGACAGGCAGAGTTTTTATTAGAGAACTTGTCAGAGCAATTGTAAAGAGAAAAATTGTAGGGACGTGTTCAAAATTAGTGAACAGTAGCCAAAAAAAAGAACTTTAGGAAACAATTTATACGACTGTAATTGTGCGGCTGCAGAAAACAAAGCTGAATGTAGGTTGTTTGATTTGTTTTCCAGTCTGAAACCAAGCATTTGGGAACAGATGAGGAATGGATTAATGCAGCTTTTCTCCAGTTTGTGAGCAATAGGTTATTATTTAAAATGTAAAAGCTAAATTTCATTAGATTGAAGCAATATTTGTGTATACTGGATTTTGGAACTTAACTATAATGTAGTGTTTTAAGAAAAATAGTTTTCCTTTTTGAGTAATTTTCTATTGAAAAAAAATCACCAAAATGATATGTAAAGAGGATGTGTTTCTTTTATTTCCCAAATAGCATATCTGTCTGGATTACTTTTTCGGGCCCTCTGGTAGTCAAGTGTTTTGCAGCTGGTGCACTTGAAGTAATTAAGTGATGAGAATTCATCTTACCAAAAGAAAAATGAAGCCAATTAAGAGAATAAAAAGTTAATTTTAAGTGTCATCCTCCACACAGTCAAATACTAATGTTTTGTAGTGCAGAACCACTAAAAATTGAAAGAGATGCATGGAAATATAATTATATCAGTTAAAATTATTTTAAAGAGCTTAAAGAGCTATTTCTACCTTATATATCTTTTAAAAATAAGGTGTTTTTTTTTTATTCAATATCAGAATATTATCTTTTTTTGTGAATACGTGTCTTACTCTGTGCAAAAACAAGTAACAAAGCCTGAATTCCTACAATCTCTAATAAAAGAAGTATTCTTATGTTGCAGTGTACATGACAAAAGATTTAATCCCGAGACATTTTTACCAGGAAGTTCAGTGATTGAACATGTAACAGAAAACATTTCTTGAGCAACCAGTATTGGAATCCATCATGAAAAAATTAAAAAGTAAATAGGTTTTCCAGAAAGAACGTACATTAACATGGTATGAACAGTTAAGAAAAGTTTATTTAATATTCTTCACTAATGAAATTTCTATGCTTGAAAAGTATCCAGCAAATCTGTTTAATTCTTTCAATAAGAGTTAACAAAAACAGTAATGTGATGTTAAGGAAAGTTCATAGGCTCTGGATTGGATTAATGGCCTGAACTTTTTGATCTAACTGTTCATGTCATTAAGAGAGCAGAGACCAGGGCAGTGCAATGTACTTATTGCAGGGATGTATACAAAACTAATATATTTAAACCTTGTTTTTGCATATGCCTTGAGAGATTATGTGTGTCGGCTACTCAGCTGACACTTTAAACCCATTCTGCTATGTGGGGGGTTGGTTCTAGGGCAGAACTGCCCATTCTTGTTTTCAGAACCACCAGAGATAAGACTTGAAATACATACATCTGGCAGTACGTCTGTGTCCCAGTTTTGTACAGAGTTTCTTGGTGGCTTTGGACAAATGTCTGTCTAGAATATTCTTTCTCTCTCAGTGTGCATGTTCTTGATCTTAAAGAAAGGTATAAAATTCTATAATAGAAGTTCTAAAAAGGTACTAAATTCATAAAATCATTTGCTGCCTGATGGCTTTGTAAACTCCCTGTCAGGGTCCCAAAGGTATTCCCTAGTCTACCTGTTCCTGCCCAGTCAGGACTCCCCTCACATGGCCTGAGGTCAAGGATCCCCTGTCAGTCCCCCAGGGCCCTCAACCCCTGCTGATCCACATCCTGGCACATCCACATTTCCAGGGAAGTGCCTGAATCCTGGGGCTGGGGTTACCCCAGTGCCTACATCTACCTGCTCCTGGATTGGATGGTGGTACTCACCATGAGGTCCCAGTGCATGGTCCACAGGAAGCACTAATCCTCACTGAGCCTGGCATCCTGCTGCTCAGCTATACAGAGGACACAAAAATAAAATTCTGAACATATTACTGAGCTGTCTGCAAAATTTAAATAAAATTCCCCGGATATTACTGAGCTGCTTGGAAAATTTAAATTATAATCCCAGATACTAATTATGTTATTTTTAATAGAGTGGTTTAAAAAATATTCACCTTGGAATGTGTTTAATAAAATATACATTCCTGAAATTTCATGTTTGGGTGTTCTATTTTTGTATTGAGTTTTCATTGTTACTTATTTGATATTAAAGAGATAAAAGTACTATCTAACATGGGTTCAAAGAATGTGTTCCACATACTAAACAGAATTATGTATTTTTCACCAAACATATTTGAATTGTTCTTGAATAAGGTGTTCACTTTCTTCTCAAGCCTGAAGTGTAATAGGTTGAATCAAATAGCTCTAAGTAGCAGCAAATATCAGAATTTGAGAAGTAACAGGTTGTTTAAACTATGTAATCACAGTATACTGTCAAAAATGTTCAAGTGATTCTTGACCACTACTTATTACATTAAATAATTGATTAAAATAAAAATATGTAAAATAATAATTAATTGACATTAATGTTCACATTTTCTTTCCAAAAGTTTGAGTTTGGATTTTGGGGTTTGTTTTGGGTTTTTTGTGGGGAGGAAGTTTGGGGTGTGGATTTGGTAGTTTTTTCACTTTAGCTTTTGAACAGGAAAGATTTTCAAATTATTGTGTAAGTATACACAAAAAATATTTAGTCATAAATGCTGTGCATAGAAAAAACCCACCACTTTCTACTGTTCTAAATATTCAAATGCACGGAGTTGCACTACTGTTTCCAGATATCGTTGTATCGTAATGATAGGCCATGCCATAGGTGGTCAGGTTTCAAGTGTATTATGGGAACGACTCCATTTAAGGTATGATGGAGACTATTTTTGTTTTGTTTTGTTTTGTTTTGTGTGTTTGTTGTGTTATTGTTTTTGCTGTTTTTTTTCCTTTAAATTCTGCTTTGATTTTGCATTTTTTTCTTTATGGTAACTGTTCTAGCCAATTCTGTCTCTCTTCTTGCCATCACATATGTTATTGCAAGGCACTTTGCTTCTGTATTTAACAGTACTACTGATGCAATTGTTCAGTTGTGACAATTAGCCATGTTCTTAGTAGGACTTCTATAATATATAAATGCAAAGAGCTTTTCTGTTAAAGAGGATAACCTGAAACTCTCCCTCAGTCATCTGAGTCTAGGCAAGTGGTTTCCAATTAAATACATATATGGCTAGTGCCTTCAACTTCTTTTAATGTGAGTCACTGTTGATAGCTGCAACACTCTTTTAAACGAGACCATTTCAAGACTGGACCACAGCTGGGAGATATAGATGCTATTATGGCCATTAGTCATGTTTTGAAACAGGCTTTCTCCTAAAAATGCCAGATAAATCAACAGATCACTGTAAAATAAAGTGGGATTTTTCTTAAATTTAGATCAGATCATTTTTTCTAAGACATGTTCTTAAAATCCTCTTCTATCTTCCCCCTTTCACTATTTCTACGTTTATAAGTCTTTGATATTGATTAATAGGTGTCTTGGTCTCATCACAAAAAATATTTTCAAGGAGAGAGAAGGGGAGAGATGAGTTAATCTTTATCACATTTAATTAACCTCAGCTTAAACAATGTTAGTCAGTGCTTTCCCTCATGTACTTATGCTTTGAAAGCTCTGTTTACAGTAGTATTTCTTCACAATCAATGGCATGAGACAAAAGTCATACATTGAGAAAACATGTTTAAATTGTTATAATTTCAGTCACTCTTTGGGTATTAGTCCATTATTTGGGCATTGTTGTGATGGTAATAGTAATAAGAATACTTGCACCTTATGGGTATTTTTTTCTCCTTATGCACTTGGAAGTTGGATGCTTGGAAATTTTAATTTTCAAACTTTATATTCAGAAGAACTGACAGAAAAACACTCAAATTATTAGATACTGTACAGTATCCAAGACATTATCAAATAATTCTAACTTTGAGATACCCTTTTATATGCTGAAACCAGGTTCAGTGGGCCATGAAAAGAAGTAGTGAGACCTTGAACACAACTAATTGTTCTACTGTTTGGTACTGATTAATCAGAATAATAACTAAAAAAATATTCTTAGCAAAAATTTTAGTGTAAAATAAAATCTCCTTAGTCTCCCAACTTGCCTCTAAATGCACATCATTTTAACTTTGTGTTTCATATGCTAACAAATATCTGGAACTCTATGCAATTTAACTAATTGAAGTTAAGGCAGATAGAAAATATCTGAAGTGATTGTAGCTTTATATAACATACAGCATACATTTGAGCTATCCATGATGAAAAGGAGACATAGAAAAACTAAAGATATTGACTTAATGACTCTTTGCTATATCAGACTTAACTTCAGATAAAAAGTAAAACGGTAGAGAAAATCTTTGCATTTCATTTGCATTAGAAAAAACCAAACAAATAAGCCAAAAAACAACCCATCCCCCACCACCCCCAAAACAGAATCCAAACACCTCCTTTTTGGTGAACAATCCAGTTTAGAGAGATATGTCCACCAACACTAGCTAAATGTGGATTCCACTTTGCACACACTTAGGTACTCTCCACACATAGCTATCCTTTTGTAATGTAACTCTCTTGTACCTAAAACTCTGTTGGGTGCTTCTCTCCCTCTGATTTTATCACAGAAAGAAAAGATAAAAATTGGGTGTGTGTCAAGACTTTTGTTCTGAATACAGGATAGAATTAACCAAATAGATTTGCAATGTCTGAAATTTTACCCTATTGCAGTTTCAGCTATGCAATTTCCTTGAAGGACTGCTCTGACAGTTTTATGAGTAATTATCATTGAACCTCCAGTGTTTTCTTGAAAATGGAATTTTTGATTACATTTTTCTTCTAAGAAACATTGAAATCAGCAAACTTTGTGTTTGACTGCATTATGCATTATGGAAAAGGTGATAAACTCATGTGCAGTAGAAAACATGCAATTACCATTACTGTTAAGATGCTAATTTGACTTTTCTAAGCTACAAAGAGAAAATTAATTTCAATGTTGGATACTGACTCACATTTATTCTTCTTACGTTTTCAATGGAGAATTGTTCTACTTCTTCTTTGCAGTATGTTGAATAACAGAATAGAATAATAGAATTCAATTAAGATCAATATGACAATTTTTCCAGATGAATGCATTTGAAAAATTATATCCATTGAATATTAGGCCACTAAGATTTCTTTCTAAGCAAGCTAGGTGATATTAATGAGGAAAGTGTCGTTTTGCCTGGATGGTTTCTTTAGATGGCAGACTGAGTTAAAAGAGACACTACATTAAGAATTCTTATATATTTTGTAATCTTATATTTCCTACTCAGAGGAATTCATGCAGCCAACACACAGAAAAATCTATAATTTCTGAAATATATATCAGCAAACAATCCAATTGACCAAACAATGTCATTAGTGAAGACTTTACATGCTGAGATTTTAAGCAAGTGAATATTCTTTCATGCTGTGAAAACAGTGTAGGTAAATATTATGTGTATACTTTCTTCTGAAGAATGAGGGCTACCATTATTTTAAGTAACAAGATATATGTTTGCCTCATTGTCTTCTTTTAAGTTGAATCAATCTTCAAAAATATTTCCTGGAAGATCTCAGTTCAAGTTTTTTGTTTGTTTGTTTGTTTGTTTGTTTGTTACATTAAGAATGTCTCCATGCAATTACTGTGCATGGAGATAAATGGATTTCATGACTGTCACTGTGGCATTTATTAATATAATAAATGATATAACCACATGACCCAGTTGGTTGAGGGTTTAAACAACCAAATCCCCTTATTGGAAGCAAACAAAACCTTTTATTTTATTGATCCCCACACCAGTGAGAAATCATAAGTTCAGGTTCACAACCTCTGAGTATAGATCTCCGTTTGCTGCACCCCATCTTGGTACTGCAGCACCTAGGAGCAGGCACTGCACATCATTTGATACTTTGCAATGTTGCTGGTGAGCAGCAAGTGCTGCTGCTTCCACTCCAAGGTCTCTCCCTGCTATTAAAAAGTATTCATGTTTCTTTCCAAGTTCTCTCTTTTGAAGTTGAATCCTTTGTTTCAAAGGACTCAAATCCCTAGCTACTTTTTAATCTGATTGATGGTCATAATTTTTTTTCACATGATGAGGGCAAACACCTTTACAAAAAACTTTGGAAGTCCCATTGACACATACTGTGTATATTTACATTTCTTCCTTAACATCTGTTGTTATTCAGGCCACAGGTGAGCCCTGAGGGCACTGCACAACAGTCTAAATGAATAAGCCTGTTAGAGAGTAATAAAATGTGACATTTTAAGAGCAGAACACTATAAAGGGATGGTTCAAAAAATTCAGCCATTCAGAAACAGTTCCGTGAGTTTTTCATTACAGTTTTTTGTGGTATAACTTCTCATACTATACAGGATATGGCTTACTCCTACTTTCCATGACTCAGTTTTGCCTGTGTCATGCTCTTCCATTGCTAGCTGAACTGTATGTTAGCTTCCACATCAGATGTCCTATTTTTCATTGTTATCTGTACCATTTCTTTACATCAGAACAAACAGGATGTAAAGCCTCATCAAATCAGAAACATAGTAATTTTCAGCATTTTGCTGTCAGTGCACATGATGTAATTGGTTACAGGTGAAAATTAGTAAGACATCCAGCCCAAGTTATCTACAGCTTAATGCAGTTGCTTCCTCAAAGATGTATGAGGAATCCTACATCTTATTTTGCAAAAATATTTATATATATAAAAAAAGTGAAGTGGAAGAAGAAAACCTCAAATTTTTCAGTGTAATCGATATCTTCCCAGATTTTTATGCTTTAAGATAGGGAAATGAGGGAGAAAAGAAACAGACGTAAAACCCACAATGAGCTAATTTTTTAAGTCAGAATTACATGTGCTGTAGTACTTTTGATTCCAGTTCCAGCTGGGAGAGAAACAAATGGGAGAGTGTCCAAAGGATCTGGAGAAAGCATAGATGTTGCTAGAAAGGGAAAGTTCACGAGAGTGGTATTTAACAAAATGGTTATGGAGACAAAGAACAATGGAAGAGCCAGATCTTCTGGGAAATTGTTGTGAATGAAATCTGGCATTAGAGGATGCCCAATGTGATGTTGTAAATACACTCATTTCCACAAAAGAGAAACAAAATTCCTCACACAATTGGAAAAAAGAAATCTATGACATTATGTTCCCTCACAGAAAACAAGGCATATGGTTATCTTGAGCATTATGCAGCTCTGCTTTTAATGACTGGCTGCCAGAATTAACAAAGCTTTTCCTGAAATGCTGAGATTAACATGCTAAACATGCTGGTGATGCTGTGTCTTGACCTGCAGCTTTTTCCTTGTAAGCAAGGTTTGTTTTTCCTCCCAGAGGAACTGCAGATATAAAACAGTAATAAGGAAAAGCACTCAAGTAAAGAGTAAATTGCTTTTTTGAAAAAGCATAGGTCTACAGAAAAAAATTAAAATGGCAGCAGAAATTCAATGGCTTTTTCTACTACTTTCAATCACCATTTTTAAGCAAATTAAAATGTATGCTTTTAGAATGTTTAAAAAACCACTGTTGCACATGAAACAATACTCTAATCATTTTAGAGCAATAGTAATATTTGGTTTATACATATATTTGATATATAGCAATATATGTGTTTTAAAAAATTTAAACATGAGTAATTTGATATTTTAATTACATAAACTGATTTCATGTTAGTAAATATCTGAATCATCTTTCTGAGTTTAGGACTAACAATTTTATTTTTTAGCTTAATTTAGCATGTTAATTTCTATGTTTCACAAAAGGACTAAAAGGAACTGAAGGGACCAAATCAGCTATTTGGCAGATGAGACTGTAGAATTTATGGTAAAGTGACTAGAACGTTACTCTGAGTTATTTAGAAGAGGTCTTATAACTTCATTGGAAGCTATCAATTTAATTTGATATTGGAATATAAATAAACAATATGTATTTGTTTGTACACACCTAATGCTCACATAGAAAATGTTTGCCATAAAGGATGCAAACACTACTTTCTAAGGAATTTCACAAGTTATTCACAATGTCCTGATGCTGTTATTTTGAAGTAGATATTTTATGTAATGGTGTAGGTTTCCAGGTGGATACAAAGCTCCTTGGAAAATTTCTAATCAGTTGTTGTTTCTAAAACTGTTTTTCCCTAGCTTTAATGGGGTTTAGAGAGTTTCTGAAAATTAAGTTTTTCAAGCAATACATAAACATTGACCCCGGAGACTTAGTGAAAAAGAACTTTTTAGAAAATTAGCTTTTAGTAAGGTAGATTAATTATTCCACTGTCTGTATTCTCAATATTAAAAGTTCAAGTGTTCAGTGTATCAATTCAGTCTTTGAATAGCCTTTCTGTGCCTACAAAGGGACCTGCCAGGCAAAACATGTTTAATGGAAATGCACCCCATGTTCTGATGGTAAGGGTAAATTAACCCAAGGTCAAATCAAAACTAGATTTTTGTGGAACCTGTGTTTCCTCATTTAAAACTACACTAGGGTAACTTCCTGACAGTCTGCTATGTAGGTGCGCACCAAGTGAAGCAAAATGAAAGGAGTTAAATGTAACATATTTCTTTTTAATGTTCTTCTTTTCCTTAATTTTCAAAGCTAATACCCCTGTAATTAGCATGACCTGATACAGTCTTTCCCTATCTTTAATAAATGGAATAGAACAAGATTAAAGTGTGAAATACTCTGGTGGGTGCCCTTGATTAATCACCACTCAGATTCAACTTCCAAAAATCATGCTCTTTGTACTGTACTCTCAGCCTCCCTCTTTTAAACCAGATCTCTTATTCTAGGATAACATTCTTACATTGTTTCTTATGTGCAAATCACAATTCTACATGATTTCCCTGGGTGTGTGGAGATCTCTGGTCAAATAACTTACGATCATTACTTTACAGCAGTCCCCCTAATCACATTTTGATAGATTCACAAATTTTGTAGCCTAAAAGGAAAAGTATACATGTCTGTTGCAGAACACAAGTCAGTCATAGACGTGCACCAATCAATTATGACATTATGCCCTTAATTTTTGTACAACATCTGATCTGTGTTTTAAATTTTTACAGTGTAAATTCTGCAGCGTGTCCTGGGTAAGATGTTCCACTGTTTGAAAACCCTCAAAGTAGAAGAAATTTGTAATCTAGTCTGACCTCCTTTCAGGGTTAAAATACACATTTATTGAAAAGAAAAAACCAAAATAAAACAAGTTGTCGCCTATTAGGAATGTATAAACCACAGTTGTATCAAATTTCTTGACCACATTCCATGTATTTCCTTAACTTTCTACTGAGGGCAAGGCTGAGGATTTGCATATAAAATTGATTATAATGATATACAATTTTTTATTACCAATTTAGCATTCCCATTTTTGTTGATCATACTGATTAATGGTAAAAAAGCCACAATGAGCAGTATAATAAAAGGAAAGATGTGTAATTTGTGATGTGCATGTGAATTATCCCAGGCAGAAGCTGAAACTTCCTGCCAAAAGGAAGTTTAGTCTAATGACAAAATTGTGGTGGAGTGCTGAATTAACAAGAATGTAATCTATTTAATGCTACCACTGCAGAATAGTCAAACAGTAGGCTCCAACTCAGCCTCCTTAGACTTTTATAATGAGACAGATTGTAGATGTAGCATATTATTCTAACTTCCCAGTTGTTTCATCACTGGTTTAGAAACTGGTGCCACAAATGGGTGTGTTGTCTCAGTTGTGCTGTCCTACTTCAGTTTACACTTCTATGGATTGACTTTCTTTAAAGCCACTGCATCATGCTATAAACTCATTTTTGGCTAGTAACTCACTGTCTTTTTTAAGGTTTTAAATAATTCATGTGTTTTAAAATATAGTTTCCATTTTATATCTTTTGACTTTCTTCTGATTAACAGCTGCTATACTCAGCCTCTGTAGTGTTTTGGAGACAGTCTGCAAGAATCCAGGTGTTCACTAATGGAGTTATCACTAATTCAGAATTATCATGGGCCTATAAATAATGGGTCATGTTTATAGTTTCCTGAATCTCACTGGGTTATAAATGAGTGACAGTGGAATCGCTTTGGTTACATTTTTTAAAAAACCTCTGAAATAAAAAATACTTCAGTTATAAATCATGTCTTTTTGATTTATTGGTAAGTCCAACAACCATTTCAGCCTGCTTCTGATTAACATACATCAAGAAAAATGAAGGAGTGGTTATTAGATCTTCTACCATTTTGATGGTAGCTTACTCTGATATAGAGTGGAGAAAATTATCATTGAAAGAGAGTCCATAAAATTCACTAGCAAATAGAGTATTTTAGTAAGGGTTTATGGACCTTTACAGACTGCTAGTGTATCCTCCCTTCAAAACTTCAATGAACTGTGCTGACAGAGAGAAAAATCATCTATCCATCCTTATTGCTTAACTAACCGGATCTCCTCTAATATCAAGGTGGCCCCCTAGTGGATGAGGGACAGGCTGTGGATATTGTCTACCTGGACTGCAATAAATCCTTTGACACCATTTTGCAATGCATTATTCTGGACAAAACAGCTGCTCATGGCTTGGATGGATGCACCATTCACTAGGTAAAAATCTGACTGGATGACTGGACCTAGAGAGGCGTAGTGAAGGAAGTTGTATCCAGCTGTTGGCTGGTAACAAGTGGTGTTCCCCAGGGCTCAGTACTGGGGTCAGTTCTGTGTAATATCTTTTTCAGTGGTCTGGAGGAGGGGATTGAGTGCATCCTCAGTCAGTTTGCATATGACACCAAGTTGGGCAGGAGTGTTAATCTGCTGGAGGATAGGAAAGCTCTGCAGAGGGATATGGACAGGCTGGATTGATGGGTCAAGATCAATTGTATGAGGTTTAACAAGATGAAGTGCCGGGTCCTGCACTTTGATCACGATGACTCCATGTAGCACTACAGGTTTGGAGAAGAGTAGCTGGGAAACTGCCCATCAGAAAAGGACCTGAGGATGCTGGTAGATAGTGTGATGGTTTTGGCTGAGATAGAGTTAATTTTCTTCACAGTGGCTATATATGGGGCTATGTTTTGTATTTGAGCTGAAAACAGTGTTGATTATATAATGTTTCTGTTACTGTTGAGTAGCATTTGAACAGTGTCAAGGCCTTTTCTGCTTTTTGTACTGACAGCAAGGAGGACGGAACACAGCCAGGACATCTGACCCCAGCAGGTCAAAGGGATGTTCCATACTGGATGACATCATGCTCAGTATATAGAGAAAGGGGAAGAAGGAAGAAGGCAGAAGGCACGGATATTTGGAATTATGCATCATGGAGCCCTACTGTTCTAGAGTTGGATGAACACCTGCCAGCCAATGGGAACTGAATGAATGCTTTGTTTTGTTTTGCTTGCATGTGCAGCTTTTTCTTTACCTATTAAACTGTCTTTAACTCAACTCTTGAGGTTTCCAACTTTTACTCTTCTGACTCTGTTCTCCATCCTGGTGGTGGGAGGTGAGCGAGCATCTGCGAGGTGCTTGGTTGCTGGCTGAAGTTAAACCATGACAGGCAGACACCTGAACGTGAGCCAGCTGTGTGCCCTGGTGGCCAAGAAGGTTGATAGCATCCTGGCCTGTAGCAGAAACAGTGCAGCCAGCAGGACTGGGGAAGTGATTTTTCTCCTGTTCTGGGCTCTGATAAGGCTGGACCTTTAATCTTGTGTTCATTTTCAGGCCTCTCACTACAAGAGAGACATTGAGGTGATGAAATGTGTCCAGAGGACAGCAAAGCTCATGAAGAGTCCAGAGCACAAGTCTTATGAGGAACAACTGAGGGAGCTGGGTTTGTTTAGCCTGGAGAAAAGAGAGTCTCAGAGGGGACCTTATCGCTCTCTACCACTACTGAAAAAGAGGTTCTAGAGAGGTGGGGGTCAGTCTCTTCTTCCAAGTAATAATTGACAGGACAAGAGTGTATCAGTTTGGCCTGGCTCTCCTGCCAAGTCCAAACTGTCTCCTCCCCCGTCCCGCTCTCCCCAAGCAAGGAAAAAAAACGAAACACAGGAAAAAACTGAAAGAAGTTCGAATGAAACGGGATTATATCAAATATATGTATATTACATATATTTAAAATTATATATACAATTTGAAGATATTATACACAAAAGGGAGCTCCCAAGGGGGAAAAACGGAAGAGGGAGGGGGAAACAGCTATAAAAGAATTAAAAACAAATATCCTCCAAATATACTCGTTACTATAGAGCTAGTGAATAAATACAAAAAAATGAATTAAATACTTCCCTGAACGGGGCAGTAGAACTGCACGAGGCAGCAGCCAACTCCCCACACCTCCCAGAGAGACCGGAGATTACGGCAGGTCTGAGCAGCAGGCCCTGGCCTATACAAGCAAAGACCGTCTGCGGAGAGACCTATTGCCTTCAGCCACCGGAAGAGAGAAGAGAGTGAACTCTCTTATCTGCGCCTTTTTATGTGTTGTGTTACGGAAAGAAATGATATGGAATACTTCCTTAGATTTCTGACCCCGTTGCTAAGGAAGGCCTAAAAAAAATCCAAGAAACCAACCCACTACAAAGAGGAAAGACCCTCAAGTTGCGCGAGGGAGGTTTAGGTTGGATGATAGGAAAAATTTCTTCACTGAAAGGATTGTCGAGCATTGGAACAGGCTGACCAGGAAAATGCTTGAGTCACCATACCTGGAGGTATTTAAAAGGCATGTAGATGTGATAATAAGGGACATGGTTTATCTGTCGACTTTGTAGCACTAGGTTTTATGCGATGATCTTAAATATCTTTCCCAATCTAAACCATTCTATGATTATTCCTGCGCATGTGCAATTGTTTTTTTATTATTATTTTTTCATGTTATAATTTCAACTAAATTCTCTGAGAGTTATTAAAATAGACCAAATTAATTAGGTATTTCAGTAGAAGATCAAAGTATTATATGTGCATTTCAGGTACTAGACGTAGAAGGACCGTACACTTCAATATCTTACAGATTGGAGCTTCTCATATTACATATCATATTTGGTAGCATGCACATGTGTACCACAAGGCAGATTGGCATACATATGCATATGTGATAATTCCTACACAATGCCAGATTTCTTTTCTGAAAGTGTACTTTTTGAAGTACATCCATTCAAATGACATAAACATTTTCTCTTTCCCAGATGAGAAACATGAGCATATTTTTGAGAAATTGAAGGTTTCTTTGTATCTGTCTATTTCTTGCCAAATCTATTGACAATGTGGATACTCAAATTATCAGAGATTCAGATCATGATTCAACTTCAGAATGAGACTACACGTGTCGTATAGAAAAGACATGTTGCGTTGGGAAAGTACTAGCAGCAAAAGATACTAGAAATATAATTGTCATATTACTAGTGGTTTGTTTGCATTGTAAATAAGCACATCCATAGGTATATTGCAGCATAAACTAAATAATCTACCTTCTCTTGTTCTTTTCTGGTGTGCTATCAAGTTAAAGATGCCTGGTAGAAAAAAAACCAAAAATCACTGATGTAATCAATCAACAAAATTGCTCAAAAAAAAAAGGAAGCTGTGTTACCCCAAGTCACAGCTAAATGAATATGCTATATAAATAGTTGCAGGCATTCTCTTCCTTTATTATTAACATTTCTTCAGGATTACTAGTTTGTCATTCCTACCTTTTCTCTCCTTGTTTGTGTACTTGCATGTGCAGTATTAATTTCCACATAGAATCATAAAATTATAGAATGGTTTGGTTGGAAGGCGACCTTGAAGATCACCTAGTTCCAACCCCTCTGCTATGGGCAGGGACACCAATTAGACCATGTTTCTCAGAGCCCCATCCAACCGGGCCTTGAACACCTCCAGGGATGGGACAGCCCCAGTTTCCCTGGGCAACCTGATCCAGTGCCCCACCACCCTCACAGTAAAGAATTTCTGCCTAATATCTAATCTAAACTTACTCTCTTTCCATTTAAACACATGTCCCCGTCACTGCATGCCTTTGCAAATAGTCTAGCCCCAACTTTCCTGTAAATTCCCTTCAGGTACTGGAAGGCTGCAATTAGGTCATGCTAAAGCTTTCAGCTAAAGGCTGAATAATCCCAATTCTCTCAACTTTTTCTCATAGGAGAAGTGTTCCATCCCTGTGATGAACTTTGTGGCCCTCCTCTAAACTCTCTCCAACAGTTTAATGTCCTTCCTGTTTTGGGGACCCCAGAGCTGGGCGGAGTACTTGAAGTGTTTCCTAGCATTATGTAACAGTTTCATGTAATTCCATCTGATTTTATTTCCCTCTTTTTCATTATTTTTTTTTAACTTAAAATCTGTGCCTTAAGACTGTGTATAATATTCTGTCTTTTATTCCTAGTAGATCCCTGAAAGATGATCTAATGATACGTGAAACAAGACAGTGAGGAACACAATTTGTTTTAAATGCTGTTATGGGATGTAGCTTTTGGTTTCTTGTCAATATTATGCATCAGTACTCAAAATCTCCAATGACATGTGACTTCTGAGAGAAACTTCTGTTTCAAGACTAACAGCATAAAAATATGTGAGAGAGCTGTAACTAGTGAAATTAATTGGGCAGATTGTCAGTTTTCTTAATTCTTTAGTACATCAGTCATTTCAGGTACTTGAGCCTAAAGCAGTGATAGCTGATTTTAAGCTACCATAAGACCAAGCTGAGAAGAATTCTAACTTCCTGACTTCCTGCAGTCTCTGTTTAACAGTTGATACAAATATTGCAATTCTTTGAGCGTGATGATCCAGATAATTCTTTATCTGTCACCTGGTCCATCCGTCAAATCCATGTCTCTCTAGGTTACAGACAGGGATGTCATGCAGGACAGCGTCAAATGCTTTGCACAAGTTCATGTAAATGATGTCAGTTGCTCACCAATGACAAAATCCCATCACAGAAGGTCACTAAATTTACTGGGCACAATTTGCCGTTAGTGAAGCTGTGTTGGATGTCACCAATCACCTCGTTATTTTTCATGTGCCTTAGCACAGTTTTCAGCAGGATCTGCTCCATGGTCTTGGTGGACACAGAGGTGAGACTGACCACCCTGTAGCTGCGTGGGTGTTTTCCTTTTATCCCTTTTCAAAAATGGGGGTTACATTTCACTTTTTCCAATCAGTAAGAATTTCATTGTACTGCCATTACTTCTCAAATATGATGTTGGGCCCTTAGGACCCAACAGATGCATCTCATCAACTCCCATGGACTTGTGCACCTTCACATTCCTCAGAAGTTCTCAAACTTGATTTTCTCCTGCAGTGGACTTCTATTCATTTTCCCAGTCCCCATCTTTGCCTTCTGTGACTCGGATAGTGTGACTGGACTGCTTGCTGGTGAAGACTGAGGTATAAAAGTCACTGAGTACTTCAGCCTTCTCCATGTCCAGGGCAGGAGGTCTCCTATTTCTTTCTATATAGGCCTACATTTTCCCTAGTGTTCTGTTTATCACTGATGTACCTACAGAAGTATTTCTTGTTGCCCTTGATGGCCCTGGACAGGTTTAATTTTATCAGGGCTTTAGCTTTCCTAACATGATCTCCAGCTGCTCAGACAATTTTTCTGTATTCCACCCAGGCTGCCTGTCCTTGCTACCACCCTCTGTAGGCTTACCTTTTGTGTTTGAGTTTGTCCAGGAACGTCTTGTTCATCCATGCAGGCCTCCTGGCATTTTTGCCTGATTTCCTCTTTGTTGGGATGCATCGTTCTGGAGTTTGGAGCAGGTGATCCTTGAATATCAACCAGCTTTCTTGCGTACTCCTTCCCTGCAGGTGTTTATCCCACAGTACTCTATCAAGCATATCCCTGAGGAGGTCAAAGTCCGCTCTCCTGAAACATGAGGTAGTGAGTTTGGTGTGTGCCCTCCTTGCTGCCCTAAGGATTTTGAACTCTGCCATTTCATGGTCACTGCAGCCCAGGCAGCCAAATACCTGTGTAAAAAAATCAGAGCTGAAGAGAAGTGCTGAGTAAATAATGGATTTTTCAGTTCACTGGAGGGTCTCAAAAGAGCAAGAGAATCTTTCCAGCAATATTTAAGAGGAAGTTTTTTCTCTAAACTTAGGGTGAAAGAGAAAATAAAGGAAAAATCAGTTAAGCAAACCCAACTGTTATATATAAAACTGTTCCCCCTAGATTCTGAATTCTTAGAATGAAAAGTAACCTCAGATCAAATTATTTTTTGCATAATATAAAAATAGTCTCTCAAATATTTTGATGGCAGAAGGGAATAAATTTTTGAAAAATAAATGGGACACAATCTATGTCTAAAAATGTATATACACATGCAAGAAACATCACCTAAAGACTTTTCAGAATGATACCAAATCAGTGTGATAGGTGATAAGTGAGAAATTATGTGGTTCAGGTCGGCATAAGTTGTCATGAAAAATTCATTACTCTGTTATCTGAATATGCCTCCTATGTTAAAATATGCAATAAAAGTCCACAGCCATATATTAAATAAATGTTATATCCATTTGAACCCCTTTCATTCTGAGGTCTGACATAAAATACAGACAGTAAAATAATTTTCCAGTGACTGAACTTATAACTGTGATTGGTGGTTTTGGTATTAACCACCGCCCATTGCTTTTTGCAACCACATTCTTTGATGCAATATCTGTAGTACTGATTCAGGAATAACCTGTTTTATTTTTATGTTTTTAAAGTTGTTCATTCTTTTCTCAAAGCTGTAGCTTAACTCCTAATAGTTATAAGCAATGTCTTGAAACTTTCTATTGTGAGGTCCTCACAAAACCAGTTGAGAGAAGAGACACTTGACAGTTCAAGTAGGAGCAGAGAACAAAGAATTCTCAAGTTAATTTAGCTGTAGTTCTACTTTCACTGTCTTTCATTTAGTTCTAATGGGATTGATCCATTTTGATGAATCTACAATCAACCTAAATTCATGAAAACTGAAGACCATGGGCTTGAATAATGGTACAACACCAATAAATTCCTACTGATTTTCAATTTGCCAAAAGGACTAAAAAAAGCATAAAAATTCACATTTCTTAATTAAAAAAAAGTTTATAAAATAAATTTTAAATTCATGTTATCTAAATTTATGTTTAGAGTTTACATTTTGAAGAAAAGAAATTCTGAAAAGTATGCTAGATTTCACAGAAATTGTGTTGTGCATTTTCTTATATTCATTTTTTTTTTCATGTCACATTCTGTTGTAGCCAATTGCAACCTGGGAAGCATTTATCTTAATCCTTTAACTTCACCAGTTGTCCAGAGCTGACTCAATATTGTCTATTAAGAGAAAAAAAGAAACATAAGGAAAGGTAATTCTAAGGGTATGTTTTATTTAAGAATTCAGGCTCATTGACATGAGGCAGAATTGTTCTGTTTTTTCCCATGAGAAAGATTTACTAACATTGCTATATGTTGAAGTTTCTTTGGTTTAATTATGATTAATTTTTTTCCAGTTAAAACCCATTTTATCACCTTATCTCTCATGACCATGCTTTTAAAATTGCACTGATCCCAGCTTGAAGATGACCTACCAGAACCTGGAGAGGAGCTCATTAATGTGACAATATGCCTCTATGCCCTGAGGTTTTTCTATAATCTATTTGATCACCTTTAACTTTTCATATAATTTATCCTTCTGAATTCCAAAAGCAAACTTTACTGTAAGGTCACAAGAGACCTTTTGTGCAGCAAC